CACATTGAGATGAGAAAGCTAAATGTCATCATTTATTATTCCAGGAAAAAACCAAACCGACTGCAGAATCTTTATTAAAATACTCTGTAATTTCTATACTGACCAGGATACTAGCAGTCTATGATACATACATAGTTTCTGTCTCCATTAAATCTATGGACAGTCTTGCCCATCTTTATCAGGATCATTTAAAAATAGAAGCTATGAAAATGTGGGATAGCATAAATACCTCAGTCAATAAATTTAAGGAGAACTAGAAAAACTATAGCGCTGAGGTGAATATGCCAAACGCATTAAAATTTTTTGGTAAAGGAAGGATGGTTTCCTTTTGTCTTTATCTACAAAATATTTTAACTTAATATTTTCCAAAATTAAGAAGTAAATAAATATTCTGAAATTTTTTGTATATTCATTCTAAACTGGCCTAGTGGATAAATCTTACAGAACTATACAATACCTTAGAGTTATACTTAATTAAAAATTAAAATGTTGGGGCTGGAGTGATAGCACAGCGGGTAGGGCGTTTGTCTTGCATGCAGCCAACATGACTGACACAGGTTCGATTCCCAGCACCCCATATGGTCCCCTGAGCACCTCCAGGAGCAATTCCTGAGTGCATGAGCCAGGAGTAACCCCTGAGCATCGCCAGGTGTGACCCAAAAAGCAAAAAAAAAAAAAAAATTAAAATGTTAAAACCTTGGAATCTAAAAAGAATGACATTCAAAAAAGAATACTATTTATTAGAATATCTCCTTTTATCTTATCTACTAGAATATCCCCTTTTGGATCTCAAGTATTATGTCACCTTTATTCTTTATCACATTAGTGCCAGGGAAATACATACGGTAGTTTATATAAATGCATTAGGTAAAAAGAATAATAAAAATGATGTAAAAAGTTTAGAATTATCTACACAGACAATCAGATGATCCTAACAAAGATAAAGGAAAGCCTGTAGTAGAATCCTTATGTATAATCTTCGTGGTTTACAACACCACAACTTGGCCAGATGAATGAAAACTATGAAAAACATATAACAGACCAAATGGTACATTTCAATGGCTGAGCCAGATGTGAAAATCCAATAACCCATAAGTAAATCATCAGATAAACACACTTAACTAGGTCAAGTTCACATATATGAAAAGAACCACTATATTGAAAGAGAGAAACTTTTACCAGATAGAAATCATTCTAACTTGTGAAAAATGTCGAAATAATATATTCACTTTGCACAAAAATAATACACTCAGCAGTGAGAATCCTTCCTCCCCATAATGAAAATTTCTAGCTATTAAATTGAAATTGTAAAACATTGCTTTATGAGAATAAATCCAGTGCGACTGTTTCCTAAAATTTTTCAACAGTGCACATGTTTTGTCTCCTGATTATGTCAAGGGGAGTTCTGTAGCTCATGAATTTCTTTTTGCTGTAAACATCATAAACTGTCGCTCTTAAACTGCATTGACTAAGGAGTCACACCCTTAGTCTCATTTGCTAAACTTCCTCAATAAAGCTAACAAAAGCTTTCAGAGATGGAATTTTATGCTAGCAAATGTTAATTGAAACCTATTAAATACAGTGAACAAACCTGCCTGCTACAGCAAGCATTCCATCCAAATTGACTAGGTACAGGTTTTTTTATTCATTGTTCAATCACAATGAACAGAATCTTTCTACTATCATGCCATTAGGCTAGCGTTCCTTTTTTATGGGGGCTTATAATAAGCAAACTATGTTCAAGTTTCCAAAAGCAGATGTGCTCTTCTGGTATCCTAGAAACAGACCCCAAGTATGCTCTATGCTAAGACCTGAAGTTCAAGCCAGTAATATCAAATGGGTATTAATATGCAACCATATAAATGACAGGATTAGAAATTTAAACAAATACTTGGGTATTTTAGAGGTAAGAACTACAGATTATGAAAATGGGAGTGTGGGGGTGCTAAAGAGATATAAAGTTGTTCCTGAGAGTAGTTAACCAGAAAAATGAAATAAAATAATGTTACTGCTATTATAACATCAGCAACCAAAAGAACATTTCTTCTTAATCAGAATGGTGAAATTTAAAATTGCTTATACTAGCTCAATTTCAACATACTTACAAAGTAGCTTCCTAGACCACAAAAGAGGATGCTATAAACCATCTCAGAATTGGTTTTATGCTCATGATAACTGCAGAAATCAATCTTTTATCAATTTATTTCATCACAACAGCTATTGTTAAATAATCTAACAGGCAGGAAAGCAATTTCCAATTGATCCCTGGGGTCCTCTAGGGCCTTATATGTTGTGATATGCTATAAAATACATTTACTCCTGTGAATCACATCGCATTCTCCAGTTTAAAAACTCAAATTACTCTTATTGACAGAAAAAAAGAGAAACATACTCAATTCTAGAGAAGCACGGAAAATTCAATTAGAAAGCAAGAGAGGCCAGAAAGCTCAATAAACCTCTAAAAGTCACTTCCTGTTCTCGTCAGCTTGAGTCTTCATGATCATATTATTTCTGTGGCAATATCAGGATACATTCTAGGGGCTGGTATTGGGAATGGAGAGACTCTATTAGAGACTGAATAGAAGATGAATAGTAGCTCTTTATCTGTACATTACCCCAGGCTTTGCTCTCTGATTCCCTGAAACAGGTTATTTGATTGGTGCCCTGATGCTTGATGGATGAAAATATACATGCTCTTCCTCTGTAGGAAATGCTTGGCTCAGGTGTGTGATCCTATTCCTTGCTCCCTCTGAAACTGGGACACTCCATGAAATGATTGAGTATAACAGTGTGTGAAAAGCTCCCTTGCTTTTTTGAAATAGGTTTAGTTGTCTGCAGTGGAAACAGAGACTTACCCCATGTACTATCTCTCTGGCCTCTTTTCTGTTACTTTTAAATCATCTTATTATTTTGAAATAATTTTTGATATAAGTAAAGGTTATAAAAGTTTTACAGAGAGTTCTCGTATTTTACTGCAGACAACTAAACCTATTTCAAAAATAGGAAAAATCCTCATCTTCTAGTCACATTTTCTGGATTCACCAAGCACATTTGTTTCTCTGTTGCTCTGTTGATACTAATCCTCAGTATCTGAAAGACTTTCTCATCCTTACCCCTTTAGAAGTCTGAAGAAATGTTAGTATGTAAAAATGAAGCAAAGAAAAGAACTTGAAGAATTCAACCATGTAAATTACACCTCACGGTAAAGAGAAGCTCTGAGGGTGCCATTTCTTGGAATTGATCTATCAACACAATCATCACAGGGTGCCAAGACAAATATTTTAATTAATAATATAGGATATACAATCTGTTTCTTTTTGCTTAAATTGGTCTAGATATTCTGGAACAAAAATATTATGACACAAAACTTCAGTGACTTCCCATTTTTTTGCAATATCAAAGAGAAAAAACTATTAGTTGAGTGGTGCTCTATCTACATGATGTCTTTGATCTAAAAAAATGACATTATGGGCTGGAGTGACAGTACAGCGGGTAGGGCTTTTGCCTTGCACGCAGCTGACCCGGGTTCAATTCTCAGCATCCCATATGGTCCCCCGAGCACTGCCAGGAGTAATTCCTGAGTGTAAAGCCAGGAGTATCCCTGTACATCGCCAAGGTGTGAAGCAAAATGCAAAAAAAAGACATATAATGAAACAGGTTTTGCTGGGAGCAGACTGACCATGTTTTCATATTAACTTAATACTTGAGTCACTAAAGTCAATTTTCTGTGTAATTGACGTTAGTTGTCTATTACACATTGATGAAAATGGGTAACAAATAGAGTTAACATAGCACTTTCAACCTACTTCCTTGTTAAGGGTTTAAAGGAAGTAAGTCAACTAGAATTAGAATAGGACAACCTGAACGAAACGTGAGACCTGCAAGAACTCAACAGAAAAGGGATAGTTTTCAGGGACCAGAGAGATGGTGCAAGCAATGTGGTGCTTGCTTTGCACGTGCATGACACTGGTTTGAACCTGCAGCGTTGCAGCATAGTCCCCCAAGCCCTTAGTGATCCTTGAGTGATCACTGAGCACACAGCCAATAGTAAACCCTGAGTATTGCTGGGTGTGGCCCCCAAACAAAAAAAATCATCAAACACCTGGTGAGTATTCCTCAAGACTGCCATTGTCAAGGGAAATAGGAAAGACTACGAAATGGGCATAGACCAGAGAAGAAAGGAGGAAACAGGATTAAATAACTGCACCCTACAATCCTAGACTGAACACTGGACCTAAAGAGTATACTAATGAACAATGACAGCTGGGATGAAACCACTAAGTTATTTAATAGTAATGTTCAAATAGTTTTCAAAATCTACCATGAGATTAAGAGATTTACAATGACGGAAATGCTGGAAAATACGGGAACTCTCTGTAAAACTTTTATAACCTTTACTTATATCAAAAATTATTTCAAAATAATAAGACGATTTAAAAGTAACAGAAAAGAGGCCAGAGAGACAGTACATGGGGTAAGTCTCTGTTTCCACTGCAGACAACTAAACCTATTTCAATTCCTGGCACCACAGATGGACCCCTGAACACTGCCCGGAAGTGATTCCTGAGCAAAAAGCCAGGACTAGACCCTGAACACTGCTAGGTGTGGTCCTAAAAGGCAAAAAAAAAGGAAAAAAAATTCCAGCAAAACTACCATCAAAGCACATAAATAAATGGTTTAAATTAATATCTGAGAATTCAAAGGTTTACATGTAGTGGTAATCAAACCTCTTCCTTGTGTTAAGTGGATCCTTGCTTAAAGTTCTTTCCTTAACATCTTTGCTTAACTGCGTTCATGCTTAACTGCAAACCCAGCTTTTTAAATCCAACATGCCCTCACTTGCAGGACAGCTTTGTGATATCAATTAGCATATTAGCTTGCATCCTAAGTCCTTCTGTAACTCATTTCCTGAAAATCATGCAAGGTTATTCCAGTGCAGATTATCCTATCCTATCTTTTTTAAAGACATGCAATTTTTGAAAGACACAGCTGTCACTTACAAAGGATGACATCTGAGCATTCTGGAGCAGAAGCTGCATCTGTTGGGTGAACATGGCTGCGGCAGTCTTTTGTTGAATCAGATTGTTGCGTCCATTAATTTCCAGCTGAGTTTTTAAATGTGGAGGAGGGTGGAGGTACTTGCAGTTCTCCCTAGTACACCGACCCTAAAAGGAAGAATCATACAAAAAGGTTTGCTCAAGTTTCTAACAATCTGGTATGGCTATGAAAATCAAGAGTTTCTATCCAACTTTCTGCGATTGCCAAGAATGTAACTAGAAGTTAATTCCATGTGATAACTTATCAGGTCTCCCTATCGACCCTTGGAGATTAATATTCCTTAGAATCATCTTCTAGATGAGAAAACAGACTTAGAGAAGCTTCATGGGGCTATAATGTGATAAAACCAGAATGAAACTTCAGTGGATCCGACTCCAGAACTCACTTTCCTTAAGACATCGTTATTATGTTCTACTTCAACATGTACTGAATAATTTTTAAAACAAATATTAAGAATTTGTGGTAGTACTATAAAATTATATAGATCAATAAAAATTTCTCAAGATGAGATGTAAAATTGTATATGAGAAGTAAGACTCGGGATTTGTATTTGATGGAAATGAAGAAAACCGAGGGATTACATAATTACATAGAATTTACATAAAATACTTTGGCAAGTACTATATATAAAGAAATCATAAGTTTTAGATTTCAGTATTCTGGACAATTTTGGTTCTAGAGTTCCTTTTCTAGGATAAGCTGTGAGAGACATCTTAAGTTCTTTGACATCATTTTAGTTTAAGAATAAATCCCCATACCTGGCAACTCTGTGTTCCTTAGCTTCCAGAGGCAATTTCCAAAACCCTTGAATAACACACCAAAGTAATTTTGGAATCTTGACTATTTTAATGTTTTATTGATAGTTTAAGCACATGCAGACAAGATACATCTTGTGGAACCAAACATGCCTTTACAGTTGCTTCAATGCTGATACAGTTGCTGACTGTGGTATTACATGGCAGCAAAAGATGTCACTGGATAAGAATTTATCACACATATGTCAAATGTGACCTGTCGTGGTGGTGTTTCTTTAATTCATGTACACTAAAAACCTGCTAATGAGTATCTCATTTGGATTACTAGATACGCTATAATCCCCTTAAGACAAGCATGACCGCAAGCAATTCTTTTTCCCACAGTTGCAGGAGCATATGGAGAAAGGGCGTGGAGAAAAAAAAAAGTCTTCTCTTTTTTGTTGTTGTTGTTATCGTTAACCCAAGAGTGCAAACTGCTAAGCTACTCAAATTCCCAGGAGGAGACTTGAGTTAGTTCATCAAGTGTTTTCATTTCAACATCAGCTATAAATTTTCTTTATCAGTGATTCCTAAATCACAATCACTTCTCCATATTTACTTATCTTGTTGATAAAGCATTCCTATAATGTGCCTGAGTATCAAGATATGTCGTTCAAAATTATGTACATCTACACATAATACAAAACCATATGAAACTGCTTTTCTAAATATTATATCAATGGGATGAAGCAGCTCTTACTTTATCTCACCATCAAGAAGCTGAGTATGACCAAAAACTCAGTGTGAGAAATTCAAGGAACAACAACTGTTTTCTGCTAGGGTTTGTTTTTTATTTGTTTGTTTCTCCCATTGACCAATGCATATGCAATCAAATAAAATGATTTGATTGCCTATGCAATCAAATAAAACATGCAAATCAAATAGTACCTGTTTCAAGGTACATTTATATTCATCTATCATTCTGGAAAAGGAAGAATGTAACATAGTAAGAATTGAGAATGGTGTTAACCCAAGCCCCTCTGTAGTCATAAAAGTAGTCTAGGAATATCTGTACAGTTTCAATACATATGAGAACTCTAAGTTTCCTTTTACACCTAATACAACCTGCACCAGATCATCACAAGGATTTTTGATCCTAGAGACTCATGCAGCTGTGTTATCTGGCTCAAAACAGTGATAATTGTAGTGTCTATTATTAAATATGCTCATTTGTACTTGAGGGGTTCTTTTCCCCCTCCTTAGTTTAACATAAAAGATTCCATTCTTGCAAAGTTTCATCTAGCACTGCAGTTGCTCAGATCTTAAATCTCATATTGCTATCTCTGACCTCTCCTCTGAATTTTACTTCTTTTTATCAACAACCATCTTCAACTGAAGCAGTATTTGGAAATCCTGCACTCTAACCGGGTAAAAACAACTTATTACTAACCTTTCTCCTTAGATTACTTTTCCTCTTCTTACTCACACTCATGACTGTATAGCATCAGTCCCCATGTTTGGGGTGCAGCTACATAGCAGCAGGGGTTGGGGAAAATAGATGCCTATAGAGTAGGATTGGAGAGTCACCTTGATAACTTTTCCAGACAAGCAGCAGAGAGTCACAGACATTTACAAAGAACACAATTTGTAACCCTCCATCCAATCTAAGCATGTAATTGAATCAATTTTCACATTATTCCTAATTCCAAACAATATGTTTTTTAAAGTAAAATTAAAACTTTTTGTAATATTAGGACTTTTGTTGTTATTACTGAGTGGTTTATCATTTAAATTGACATCAACTAGAAAGGTGAAAAGAAGCAATTGAATTTGGGATGTTTGGCATATTTTTCTGCCAATCACAGATAAAGAATTACTACCTGTCTTTAATTTTACATCACTGTCCTTTAGATATATTTTCCTTAAGCTTTTTTTCCTTGGAAAACTGATGACAGTTTTGTAAAGCAAAAACCTAATACAAATAGAAAAGGCAGAGAATTAAACTTGAAATATTACATCAAGATAGGCTATAAAGCTAAAGCATGGAATACAAGGAAGCATGAGATTTTAAAAACATATTCATACAGTGGTTAGGGCATTTGTCTTGAACATGGCTAACCCATGTTTGATACCTGGCACTCTATATGCTTCCCTGAGTCCTGCAGAAGTGTTCCCCAAGTGCAGAGTCAGGAATGCCCCAAGCACTGCCGTTGTGTAGCCTCTCAACAAAAAATAACACAAAAAGCATACTCCACTTAAGTATGAGATTTTACTTGATTTATAAAGTATTCTCTTTTGAATGACAGAATCTCTATTTTAATTCTGTAACAATGCAAATGTATAGCAATATTACTATACCAGAGACTGCTGCTATGTTCAAGAAAGCTTCTTCGAGACATTTTTTTTAAATGTGCATTTTCTATCAAAACAAAGATAAGACCAAATAAGTTAGTATCATTGTTATCTGTGGAACACAATGTTTCAAAAAGAAAACCAACCACGGACCTCATATTTCTTTCAAAATTACTTTGGAAATCAGGATTTATTTATATGCACAATACTTAGCAATAATAAATCCCTTCTGCATAGAGCACTCATTCTTCAAGAAGCCAAACTCAATTACTGGCCAAAATAATTGGAGAGGGTATATACAAACTTTGTTGCTTTACATTTTCTAACATCTGTTTGTAGTCCTTGTAGAGGACTAAGGCTTTAGTGAGATATATGTGGATGGGACGGAGTGGAAGCAGGGGAGGGATTGCCCCGCACAATATGTAATCATCTATTGTTTGATCCTTTGGAAAACCGATGGCTTCAGAGTAAATTCTTTCTCGTTAAGCCAGCTAAGCCCTCTGAATGATACCCTATTATAATGGGTCTTGAACAGCCCAGAAACTATCTTGGTATGAGAAAAACGATCCTTCACGTTTCCCAAGCCACACTAATAGTGTCCCAAGTCCTCCTAGACCCACTGGTACAGAGCTATCATGTGCTCAGAGCAAAGCAACAGACCATGTCATAACAATTCCACACCATATTCCCATGACAGTCACCATCCACTGGCAGAGCAGGTTATATCCTTCAAAAAGCCGCTAAGGCTAGTCAAGACAAGTCTCTCCCTCTCTTTCTCTTTCTCTCTCCCTCCCTCCCTCCCTCTCTGTGTTCACTCCCTCCCTCCATCTCCTACATATGCATGCACACAATTAAAGAAACATTGAAAAGAACAGAGTGCAAACTCATTTATGCTTTTCTCAATGCTATTCCTTTCCATTGCCTTAAAAATAAATCATTCTCATCTGGTCTTTCACGATGCTACTGAGTTAAGAAAACAGCAAAGTGACTCAACAGGAAAGTGATTCTCTGCTGAAATGAGTGCTACTAGACCTAAGAATCTTCCAGTACCCCTTCCCTATCTACTCTCTCTGAAAATGCACCCAACAAGCAGCAGGGGAGAAAACGGCCAAAGACATTTCTGAACTACATCTGCATCAAAAAATTGATGACAAACAAAGAAAAAGTTGCAGAGCTTTTACAAAACCTCCAACAGTCACTCCTTTTCCCTACCTTCAGGCTTTTCACAAATGAGTACAAAACCTTTGACTGGGAGAGAGAAAAGTAGCAAGTAGCGTTGTAGAAATTCAAATCCCACCTAAGTCTTAGGAGTTATGAGAGCGAGACTGTCAGATCCAAGACTTCTGTGCACTTGGTGGGTAGAAAAACCTACAAATGTACTTCATGTTCATAAGAGAAAGATCTATCATCTATCATAATAAGAAAAGGCCCCTATGAAGCTGAAAATTACTCTTTGTCAGTCACAGTATCTTAAGGAGAAATAGCTGTTTGCAGAATGACTTGACTCTCAAATACACGTGAAATTATGGAAAAGAATTTCTCTCAAATGCAATGATAACTGGATTACTTTTCCAAACACTTCTCACTGGTCTGCTAGACAACCAAGAGTTAAAAGTCGAATGTTAAATAAAGCCCTGATCTCATGATTTGTTCTATGAACAATAGCATTTTATCACATTTTAATGACGGTGTGTTAAGTGAAAAATTCTATGGATAACGCTGTCTCACAGAAACATACTTACGTGCATAGACAGCAGCTTCGCGGAGGAAGTCGCTCTGAGTTCTGAAATATGAATCACTCATACTGGGTTGTCTGGTTCCTACAACTGCCAAGGACCTAGTGAAGATTGGAACTACTCTGAAGAGCTCTAAGTGAAGCAGCATCAATATAAACTATTAGGCAGCAATCAGGAGACTAATGGCAATCCCCCACTTTTTCCTCTTAGACGCCCGTCTTTATAAAAATGGATATAATCAGCATCATGTTCTCTTCCACAGAGTGTACCCATCTATGAACATTA